TCTCTGGGTGCATTGACTCTTCTCCGGGTGCCTTGACTCTTCTCTGGGTCAGGTCTAACGTTAACTCACCAGCAACACATTTATTGAGAGATTTCTCTGTGTCTCCTTGATGAAGACACTGGATGTCGGGAAGCATCCCTGCTGTACTAGCTCAGTAGGCTCTTGTGAGTTCTAACAGAAGAGCCTTGGAAGCAATCAGAGAAGAGACAATTTGAGGAGCATCCACTCAAATGACCCCAGACAGGAACCAGCCCCTTAGACTGATGTGTTCAATCATTCCTACCTGAAGGGAAAGTTCTTTAAGACTCTGGAAGTAAATGAAACTTAGAAAGCTCAAAAATGTAAACAAAATTTACAAGGATCTGGAAGTTCTTCCAGCTTACAGGGTTACAGTTGCAGTAACAACTGCTGAGAAGAATTCTTGATCAGTAGAGTATCTATTCATCAAGTCATTCAGGGATTTTGGGGAATTTAGCTGTCACAAGTCATGGCCCATTCTGAGGCTGGCTTTTCAGTGATCCAGTCACCTTTGAATCATCCCTGGTTCTGTAAATAACTCTAATAAATACACTGGCTCACTAAGATAGATTGATATTTCATCTCTTAGGTCTGCCATTAATATTAGATATGGGGTGAAACGACATTTGTCCACGTCTGACCAGGAAAAATTGCACAGCAACCAGAAAGAGACCGTGATTCAGAGGTTAAAGGCTGTAATTACAAATTAACCCATTTGCCAAAAGATCTTACTTTTCTTGTAACAGCCTCATGACAGGCAGGGGTCTCAACATGGGTATCAGTGGGGAAGACGCGGGAAGCTACTGTGTGTCCCTGCTTAGCTCTCATTTGGTGTGTTTCAAATGTCTGGCACTGTTATGAGCTGAGGGGCAAAGGAACTCTGGGAGATGCTAACCTAAACAGCCATGACAGGCTTCCTGGTGAATTAAAAGTCAGGCCTCTCAACCTCTACCCCAGAGGCCAGTCAGGGGGAATATCACTGCAGTTGCTGGGGTTAGAGCCTGGGCCTCAGCTCTAACAATCCAAGCTTGACCTATCCTCAAAAGATCAGTTGAGGAAACAATAGGGAAAAAATATGAAAATGAAATTGGTGTGAAAGAGGGACCAAGAGGGCCAGTGGTCTCCAAGTCCACCCACAAGGCCTCGACATGAGGCTTAGGCTTAAATGGAGGACAAGATGTGTGCATAACTAAGCAGTGCCCGTCAAGATGCCATCCCACCATCACTACGCAGACCATCATTGTCCAAGTCCAGGGTCCCCCACAAGATGGTCTAACAAGTTGTAAATCTTCTCTCTTGGAGACAAATCCCTTCTAGAGATCCATATTCCCCTCCCCCCTCCCCCCTTTTCTCTCCCCCCTCCTCTCTCTCTCTCTCTCTCTCTCTCTCTCTCTCTCTCTCTCTTTCTCTCTTTCACTCTCTCTTTCTCCATGGGACTCTTGGGGAAATTCTGCCTTCCAGGATCCATTGTTTCAATAGTAGAATGGCCCAAGGGGAGTCCCAAATGTTTCTTTAGATACCCTCCTTCCTACAAGACTATTTACAGCAACACACAGAATGTCTTTCAATTATTTCAAATAAGTTGTCTTGAGAAGAATCTCTGACTATTTTGCCTGCTCTTGAGATCCTTTTCCTCCTGCTGGGTTGCCTTGTCCAGTCTTCATATTAAGGCTTTTGTTTGCTGTATCTTGTTTTTGGCCTGGGAAGTCTACTCCTTTCTGAAGAGGAAACAGAGGTGGGGTGGGTATGGGTGGGAGGAGGGAGAAACGAGGAGGAGTGGAGGGAGGGGAAACTGTGAATCTTTGAGAAAGGGGAGATTGGAAGGAGTGAGGGAGGGAGGAATGTGGTTGTGACTTGTATGAGAAAAGAGTCTATTTTCAATAAAATGAAAAGAAAGGAAAAAAATCCTTCTTTCCCTCTTGATGCAGCAATAGCCTGCCCTACTCAAACATCTCTCCAGTTCCTTGTTTCCCTCCATACTCTATCCTTCTCCATGTGCACACAGTTCATTGGATGCCATTTCTTAGGTAAAATAAAATGAACATGGAAAAATAAAAGCTTTAAGGACCAAGGATTTAAGCCCAGTTATGCCACCCACCTTGCTTGGCACCAACTACAGATCCTCCCTAATCTCAGGTTTCTCAGAACCACGTGGGTATGATAATCCTACAGGCTCACTAGAAGGCTGAAATAGCCTAAAATCTGTGTTCCTGACTTGAACTCATACCCTCAATAATAGACTAAAACCCATAATCTGAAACAACCCTTTACCACCCAGGGTTCTTTTGGTTATGATGTTTATCACACCAACAGAAAGCAAAGTAGTGCTTTCTACAGACAAGATGTCAGCACAAGGCAGACTTCTGTCTGAAGGAAACACTGAGACTCGCAGGATGCCCTCTAACACCACAGGAGTCCCTGATATCATGGGACTTACCTTCCACTCCACCCTGCTCCCCACCAGTGCTCTCTCCAAGGCCCAGTAGGAGATGGTTCTCCCTCTGATTCTCACTGTCTCTCAGCTACACCTGAAACTTTGCCCTGGGCAAACAGGACTGGATCAGTGTAATCATTCTCATGTGGAGGGCAATCCAGTCAGCCATCCTCTTGTTCACGGACGGTCTGTTCAGTGGATAAAGCATTTGTAGCCAGGTCTTACACAAAGACATCATCTCCCATCTAAAACCATCTGCTTTCACCCTTTCAACACCCTTTGCTGCTAAAGAATTAGGACAATAGTATTAACATGGTCCTTCTGCTTGCTTGTTTTGAATCACACTATACTCATTGTATCATTTAACCTACATGAGAAGCTAGTAAGTAAATCCATGCTACTTCTTTGTAAGGAGAGAAACTGAGACACAAAGAAGCTGAGTGACTTGCCCAGCTGAACACAGATACCAAGTTAAGGAAAGGAGCCCAGATAGAAATCTGGATGTCTCTTTCTCAGAGTTTCTCACCTATCAAACTCTCTGGGGTTTTCGGTTTTGTTGTTGCTGTTGTTTTGTTGGTAGTGTTTTGTTTTGCTTTTGTTTGCCTTTTTTAGATTTTTTTATTGATATTTATTGAGCTCTACATTTTTCTCTGCTCTCCTCTCTGCCTCTCCCCTCCCCGCTTCAGCCCTCCTTCAAGGTCCCCATGCTCCCAATTTACTCAGGATATCTTGTCTTTTTCTATTTCCCATGAAGATTTTTAATGTGAAAAATAATATCTGAAGTTCCAGAGATTTAGGAGATACATAGCTCAGTGCTTTCCATGCAAATAGAGACCTGAGTTCAAGCCCAAAACCTACATTTTAAAAGTCAGCCATGGTAACATATACCTGAAATTTCAGCGCTGCAAAGGTGGAGATAGGGAATTCCTGGGACTCACTGGCCAGCCAGCTTAGCCAATTCAGCAAGCTCCAGGTAGTGATAAACTTGGTCTCAAAAAACGTGATGAACAATGCCTGAGGAACGATACCTAAGGTTAACCTTTGGCTTCTATACACATGAGCACATATGCACCAATACACACATAAACACACACGTGAACAAAACCCCGAGGTTCTGTCTTTTGTAGTTCAGAGTCCTAGGCAGTAGAGCTAATTCAAGCACAGCACTGTGCATTCCATCCTCACCCTCTTCATAACCAGTTACAGTTTTCCCTGAAGAATCAGCTCCAGCACAGGAGAAAGGCATATGTATTCATAACTTCTCTCCTTGCTGAAAGAAAATGCCTAACAGAAGGGGAAGGTAAAGAAAGAAGGATTGATTTGAATTCTTGGTTTTAGAGATTTCAGTCCATCATGGAGGGGAGACCATTTGGAGCTATGTGTCACACCAGGACAACCAGGAAACAAAGAAAGAGATGGGAAGCTGGGATCAGGAATATCCTTCACAGCCCCACCCCACCACAACCTACTTCCTCCAGCTAGACCCTAGCTCCTAAACTTTCCACAACCTCACCAAATGTAGCCACCAGCTAAGGACCAGAAATTCAAAAGTCGAGCTTCTGACCAGCATCTCGGTATTTACATTATAACATAATCCATATTTCTTCTTACATAGATTTTGGACAGTTACATCCCTCTTCTGATGGCTGCTCTGTGACAATGGTGACTTTTCTAGATGAAGGGATTGCTTTGAGATGACACCTAGTAAGAAAGGAATGTCACAAGAATAACCCTCCATAAGAGCCCACCCTCCATAAACCAGTGTGGATTTTTATGTCTGTTAAAATTTAGAAACTGGGTCAATGACCATAGCATAAACTCACGATGCTTCTGACTTGTCAGACACAGGCTTGAGCATCCACAAAGAGCCAGCATTGTGTAATTCCTGAGGTGTGAGTACGTCCTTTTGCATCACCTATATGCAGTTACCCTGGTAAACACAAATATTCAGGAGCTTCTCACAAGACTCTCTGGGCTGGAGGTAGAATATCAGCAAGGCTCCATTCCTTCTTAGAGACTCTGCAATAAAGTCTCATTGCCTATAATTCCCAGCTTCTAAAATCTACCAGGATCCCTGGCTTGGGGACCCTCCTCCCTCCTCCAAACCAGCAGCATAGCATGTCTCTACCTGTTTTGTGTCCCCTGAAGCTGAAGAAACATAGGAGGAGGTGGAGGCATCAGAAGCTATAAGGGTAAAGGATATTCTCACGAAGTTGACCCAGCCCCCTGAAGGTAAGAGTTGTTGGGCTGCCACTAACAACTGACAAGGAGCCAACAAAGTAGTGAGTGATGATAAAGGGTGAGCCGCTGCAGGGAGGGACACAGGAACGGAAAGGGACAGGGAGTAAGGCTTGTCTATTCCTCATCTCTTTACAGAACCTGCTAGGGGCCAGTTCTTGGAGGGAGAAGCTGGCAGTGCAGAGGAATGGTCTGCAGAGATACAGCTGAATGTACCAGAGCCAAAAAGAGTACACTCGGAGCCCAGGGAGAAGAGCTTAATATTTGGCTACCTTACAATGTTCCGGGCCTGCTGCCAAGAACTATTGAGTTTATTAAAGTTAAGAAAATCTCTCTCTCTCTCTCTCTTTGTCTCTCTCTCTCTCTCTCTCTCCCTCCCTTCCTCCCTCCCTCCTTCCCTTCCTCCCTCCCTCCCTCTCTGTTTCTGTGAGTGTATATGTGTATGTTTGTTCATGTATGTGGAGTTGCACATGGGGGTCTGTGTGTGTAGGCCAAAGGACAACGAAAATGTCATTCATCAGGTGCCATTACCTTTGAGTCAGGATCTCTCACTGGCCTAGAGCTCAATGAGTAGGTTAGGCTGACTAGGTAACGAGCTCCAAAGGTCTGCCTGTCTCTGTTTCCCAATTGCAAAAGTGCAAGTCACCACACCCAGATTTTTACATGAGTACTAAAGAAGGAACTCATGCCTCAAGTGCCCTAGTTAGGGTTCTATTGCTATGAAGAGACACCATGACCATGGCAACCCTTATAAAGGAAACCATTTAACTGGATGGCTTACAGTTTCAGAGGTTAGTCCAGTATCATGGTGGGATATGGCGGCATGCAAGCAGACATGGTTCTGGAGAAGAAGCTGCGAGTAGAGAAGGAGCTGTGTTTGGATCCCACAGGCATTAGGAAGTGGTCTGAACACTGGACATGGCTTGAAATATATGAGACCTCAAAGTCAGCCCCCACATTACACAGTCCCTCAAACAAGGCCACACCTACTTCAATGAGGTAATAGTGTCACTCCCTATGAGCTTGTGGGGCCAATTACATCCAAACAACCACATCAGACTTGCAGAGCAAGCATTTTATCAACTGAGCTCTCCCTCTCTAGCTCTCACTTAAGGAAACCATATAACAAATCAATTGATTAGGTATATTTATTCCCTCAGAGGGAAACAGGGACTCAGAGATGCTAATGAATCTTACAAATGCCACCCTGTTGAGAGATATCAGGACTGAGTTCCAGTGTCCTTTTTTTCTCTGGTGTATGAGAGATGCCAAATTCTGAATGTGCAGTCCAACCTCCTGAGAGAGCTCTGGATGGAAAAACTACAACAGTACAGAAGAGGAGAAAGGTCCACTGTCGGTCTGGATCCGACAGAACCAGAAAAAAAAAAAACATGACCTGTCAGCTCTTCTCAGCCCTTCCTACCAGTACCCATCTCTCCACTGTAACTAACCTGCTGGTACCCAGCTTCTATAGGCATGAATGCACTGTCTGTGACTACCACCAGCCTCTCCAGTCAGTCCCTTCAGTGAAGAAAGCAAGGTTTGCCCACCACCTCTGCTTGCTTTCAATGGAAGCTAAGACACACAAATTCTTGTAGAGACTTTTCTGTGGCTTTGGTAAAAAAAATCAATTTATGAAAGGAAATGGTTTATTTCATAATAAAGGTTAATCCATCATTGTAGGATATCAAGGTAGAAATTCAAGGCAGGAAGTTGAAGCAAAAACTATGGAAGAATGGAGGAATGCGTACTGGTCAGTCACTGACTCATTCTCAGCTTGTTTTATTATATATAGAGCCAGAGCCCACATCTCTGGAGTGTGCCACAGTGTGCCAGGCTTTCTCACATGATTCATCAATCAAGACATCTCATAGACATGAATGCAGGTCAGCTTGATCAAGGAAATTCCTCAGTCAGGACTCCTTTTTCTTGGAGATTCCACGTTGTGTCAACTTGAAAATAAAAACTAGCCAGGACACAAACCAAGCAAAAGTATCATAATGTCATATCCTCAAAAGATGTTTTATATTCTCTGTAAAATGCTGAGCAGGGTTTTCTTTGTAAGACAGGGTCACCTGAATCCCCACCTTGCATCACAATCACTACATAGCTGAGTGTGACCTTGAACTTCGCTGATCCTTCCTGTTTCTACCTCCTTAATACTGTGATTGCAGGTACAGTCTGCCAGGCCAGGTTTATCCCTGTTTACCAAATCCAAGACTTCATGTATGCTAATGAAGCAGTTTCTCAACTGAGATACATCCCAAGCCCGAAGAAGTATTTCTGATATGCTGTTCTATCCTCAGAGGGTTAACTTTCCATAGACGATTTAAATGAACACCCAAGTGTCTCAGAACACCATACAGGAAAAGAGCACATCCAATTGTAAATGGAAGCATATCTGCTTCTGCTGAGATTATTATAATATGGCACCAGTGTATACACGCATACAGAAGTCCAGCAGTGCTGTATAGTAGAGAGACAGAGCACCTGCAAAACATACATACTAAATACCAGATGCTGAGAGCATTTACAGCAATCTGTTATCCTTATAAGTGGCAACAGGACTCCCAATGGCCTAGAACAACAAAATTAATGGATTGGAAAGCAAGAATCTAATGTACGAGCTCTCAAAATTCTGCAGGTTGGCAGATTCGCAGAGCTCATTGGGTATATCAGTGATGGGTATGAGGGGTATGAGGTAGCCAGGAGGACTCCAATAAGAGCAAGGTGAGAACAGAAGAGAAGGGAAAAAACAGACAACTGGTCAACCCACACCCACTCCTCTAAGAAGACAAAACTCTATTTCCAACAAGAAGCTTCTTTGAACTTTAGTAAAACAAATAGTATTTGCACAAACAGCCTCTACAAAAAGCAAATGCCATAATGAGAAAGCAAAACAACAAAATTCTATGCAGTTCACCCACTTGACAGTTAAATAATTTTATATTGAATTCAGGTTTTATGGCCCATTAGAGGTCTGGAGGGAGAATTCTCAGGGATACTTCTGGACTAATGAGTGTTTTACAAATTGTTTTTCTAACACATTTGTTCTTTTTTTTTTCTTCTGGGAATAATAAGAACCTTTGGTTTATAGATTTCGGCCCTACATTTGAGAAACAACAGCAGTTATTTTAATTGAACCTAATTTATTTTTATTAGTAGAGGATGTTGGTGTTTTGTGTCTTTGAGATACATTTTTGACACTGATAAGCAAATGATGCTATCAGTCAAACTATCACAGCCTCCTACTCATGTTCCTACACATCTTTCAAATACCCTCTGACAAATGTTCCCTTGCTTCCCCACGAGGATGTGGGTTTCCTTTTGTGAATCCAACAGTCAGAGTAAAACAGAACTTACAGAGAGGTCTGTGGCATCTACTAACTCTCTTCTCCAGACACACTCTCTGAGAGAAAGAGACCAACATTCCACGGGAAGTTTCTTACTTCCCAGGGACACAGATGACAACACATCAGACCTTCCTCAGCCACAGATGACAAATTCTTCTTGAAAATCTCTCCTACAACCACCAGAAAGGCATGTGAAGCAGTTACTCACAAGTTAAGATATGGCTATGGGAAAATGTCATCTCTTGTAACGGGTTTGCCTGAACTAGAGAGACATTCTTCATTTTCAGACATCTGCCCATAGGAGCTATATTAATTACTTTTCTCATTGCTCTGACAAAAATAACTTAAGAAAAGAGGTTTCATGTTGGGTCCAACTTAAGAGTGCAAACCATCATTGCAGAGAAGTCACAATGAAGGAGCTTGAAGAATCTGGGCTTATTGCATCTGTAGTCAGGAAACTAAAAAAAAATGAATTCTGGTGCTCAGCACAGTTTCTCCTTCTTATTCTGTCTGAGACCCTGCAGACTGAATAGTGCCATTTATATTTAGGGTGAATCTTCCATCCTCAGTCAAATCATTCTGAAAAATGAGACATACAAATATATATGTTTCCAAATGGATTCAAAAATCACCTCACAGTGAATATTAGTCATCACAGGAGCCAATAAATTGTCTGATTTGAGCTCAATGTGCCTACTGTTGGAAACCAACACATGTAACCTATTGATTGGGTCCTCTTCCTGCGCTGAATGTTGTTCTATGGTTTTTGTTTTTTTGTTTGTTTGGTTTGGTTTTTATTTTTTGGTTTGTGGTCAACCCCATATCTAGTGAGAGGGTAGGAAAGGAGGAGGAAGAGGGGAGGGAAAAAGAAAGAGAAAAGGCCTTGAAAGACATGTTAAATAACTAGTACTTGGTCTTCAGATCAATAGGAAGCAAATGGATTGGTTTAGAGTGTGATAAGAAAGGCAACTGACTGGCAACTGACTGAAGGAAGGTTTTCAGAAGAGCAAGAGTAGAAGGGAAGAAACAACAGAGCAAATGCTGTGTTTCATTCCTGATAATGAAAGATCCTAGAACACAGCAGAGTGCACATCATGGGAGATACACAATTCAGATACATGGGAAGGCTTCTAATATGATGCAATGCCCTCAATGCAAAGTTGGGAGAGAGGTAGGTCAGGAGGTAACTCATGTCTTCCCACTAAGCAATGAAATTGGTGGAAGATTCTTCCTGAAAAAGAAATCATAACATGAAAGCGATTTTAGTGAAGCCATCATAGTTTTGTCAAGTTCTCCTCAACTCTGGCTCTTACCATCTTCTCATTTCTTCTTCTGTGATGGTCCTTGAACTTTG